TAGTTACAGTAATAAAACATTCATTAAAAATTAATTCGTTTTATTCAGTCATGAATGAAAAGGTTGAAAAGGCGTAATTAATGTGCTGACCAGATGGCGGTAAAAAAACATATTTGGAATGATTATATATAATATTCAATTAAACAAAAATCTCTCTATACAAAACTAACATAATTATTGTCCAACTTACTCTCCTCAAATATTTCAGTTAAGAGATATGATATGGAATGTTTGGCCTATTTTCGAAGAGTTTTTTAATTATTCCAAAACAGACACGGGTTCACATATCTATATTTAAGTTGGCAAATAGCAAGATTCTAATGTGATTTCACCTATTTCCAACACTTTGAAAAAAAAAGAAAAAAAACAATACAAAAAACAACATACTTTTTATAACTTCTAGTGGAACTTGGCGCAAATTTGCCGAAGTCCATTTTTGTCCACGTAGTTTGTATAATAATTTTCTCCCCTGAAATATCAAAATAAACAAGATATCTGCATTAGAAACAGTGTCCATCTCCAAGCACGCATCAAGCGAGTAGAAAAATATTATTATAATTACGCTTAGACTACCACGAAGCGTAATTCATCTGGGACTCTCACTAGAAAATTTGTAAGATCCAATGTTACGTATAAATATGCAGTGAGTTATTCGCCAAGGTACGGGATAGTTCTAGAAACGTGGCGTCACACTAGTCATGTGACTCGCTGACGCAACAGTATAAATATGCAGTGAGTTATACTGAAAGCCACAGAATACAGCAAATCGTGTTTTCATTAATATCACAGTTCAAATGCTTTAAAATCTCTAAACATTATTAACAAAATAGAGGTGTGTCGCTTGGAATTTCTAGGGAAAACAAACAAATTTGGTTACTATAATTTCATGGAGGTAGGCCTAATATGGCGGAATATATGAACACTATTACTTGTTATCTCACCATGTATTTCCTGTCGGGTTCGTTTTGTGTGAGCTCCAATAACGTGTCTTTAGTCAGAAGGTTTCTTTCTGTGAGGTCATTCAGCAAGGACTCTGGTACACAGTTTATGATGCTGTCCAGTTGTTTGACAGTGTCACTTGACCATGTCACATTTGGTTCCGTTTTATTTGTGAATATCATTCGTTTTTCCTTTTAGCAAAATAGCAACAACAGTTAGATCAATTTTTAACTATCAATAAACACACACATTTTTATTTTAGTCATTTAAAAAACAAAATTAAATAAAGTATAAAAAATGAAGTAGTTTTAGAATTTTTATTCACGTTAGGCCTACAGTGAAGAAAAAGTAGCGGTTTTCCTTTACAGAATTAAATATAACCAAATAATATTTAAGTGAAAATGTTCAATTTAAAGTTTTTATCAATCAGTTTGAATGGAAATGAAAAGTTTCGAATTTATTGTGAAGTAATCTTCTTTAAAATCCTATTTACTTATTGTTCATTCCCACTTGTAGTTTCATTAAATATATGATAATCGCAAGGTCTTGTATCTGTTACAGAGTGGCAGCCTCAATTTGAGCTTTTTTTTCTACACTAAATTACAAAGATTTCGTTTCTTTTTTGTCTATTACAGAAACTGCCAGTCTCATTTCGAACTTTTTTCTCGCTAGATTACAAAGATTTTGTATGCTTCTTAAATAACGGTTTATTCATTTCCACAGTGTATGTTCGAAAGTGTTACTGCAATACAAAATTAATTTAGATACGAGTGCAGGTTGTGAATTAAATAAAACATTGTAATCATGAAGGTAGACTGTGAAGCTTTTCAGAGTTAAATGCAAGGGGGTGGGGTGGGAGCAGACAGTTCATTTTAGAAATGAATGTATTTTCATCTTAAATCTCATACCAGACTACAAGAAATAATAGGTTTGGCGTGTACGTTGGGCGTGTCCTTCACAGTCAGCTAAGGAACAGTAAACTGTAATGTATTTCTGTGTATACAATGAGTACAGTGATCGATGCAAGGTTTCGTTTTCTATTAAAATTCAAGAAATATATTTCATGACCATAAATAACCGATACTGTGAAAACAAAACGAAAAAAACAACACGAAACAAAACTGGCAAAACAATAAACCAAACCAAACAAAACAAATGCATCGTAAACCCGCCAGAGCTGTGTCTTAACTGATGTTATAGTATTGCTACGTCTCCGTTCGT